TATTGACAAACCAACTTCTCGTGGTTAAATATGAAAGTAGTAATATTCATAAAACTATTAACTATTCAGCTTATACACGGAGAACTAAAAATAACTTATCATGCAAAGGTAGTTCGTGTAATAATACTTTAATATATCTCTTACAGCTAAATATTGGTATGTCATTGTAAAGTATGCAGAAAATATATATAATATCTGTCTTTCTTCCTAACATTCAGCACTTTGCGCGCCACACAAGTTAAACAGACAGGTCAGAGTTCTTAGTGTTCTGGAATAGCCATCGTTACTTACTGACCAGAAAACGAGTAGCTACTTAACGACAAGATATATAAGCTCGTATCCATACATCTTTGGTGATATACAGATTACCGTAACATGTAAACAATTATTAAATATAATGTGACGGGTTATCAGGTAGAAGTCATATAAAAGAAAGACTTCGAACTGTAGTGATTCAAGTTGTGTTTTAGTCGCCATGACACATCAAAGAATACAATGCTTTCGCTCATAATTTGTGACCTATAAAGTAAAATTTAATTTAATATTTCGCCAAACAATGAAAAAAATAATTACTGCCAGAAAACGTACCACAACAATGAACTGCGAAACTGAATAGGTTGAATGATGATCGAGTGCCAGCGCCACCTACAAGTATAAGATTTCAATAGACTTTTCTTATAATGTATAAATATATGTGTGTGTGTATGGGTACTTTGATCATATTATAAACTGAGATACTAACTATAAGGAAGACGAATATATTTTTTGATTTTTACATTTTATCCAGTGTATTGAATGACAGTTACTGAAACTGACTTTGTATCAATACATTTTATTGCCACGATGATATTGAAAATTAACCGTATATATGAAGCTCAACCTTTTTGTTAAGATCGAAAAGAAACACATTTCTTTTGTGCTCTGAGTGTCACAAGCATGTTTGCTTTTCTTTTCTAGACAAGATCACGTTTTCATTTTTATATCGAGATTCGACAAATACACATCTGTCGAAATGTCCAAGGGACAGACTATTCTGTACCTTGACAAATACAACGCCTCATGTCGAAATGTCCTATGGACAGACTATTCTGTACCTTGACGAATACAACGCCTCATGTCGAAATGTCCTAGGGACAGACTATTCTGTACCTTGACAAATACAACGCCTCATGTCGAAATGTCCTAGGGACAGACTATTCTGTACCTTGACAAATACAATGCTCATGTCGAAATGTCCTAGGGACGGACTATTCAGCACCTTGACAAATACAGAATGTTATGTTTTATATTTACACTCTTTTCTTGTTTGGGTAAACTAATGAAATTATCCTATCTTTTATCTGTCCAAAGGAAGTCTACTTCCAAGTTCAAATCATCAACAGAATCTCTAGATGCAAATGTGAAGAGGCAGATTTTTCCTGTTGGTCCAAACAGGACTGGTAAGATTAGACTCTATCGTCTTCTTTCATAGCTTTTCTCATGCGTTAGTGTAATGTTGAACATTGTGTGGGGTGGTCCACTGATAACACTTATAAAATATTTATATTGAAGAAAGATACATTTATCTTTGGATACATAGTTAATTTCAAATTCTGATTTAATGTGGTATTATATCACATAAAACAGTAAGTGAGAATTTTTTATAACGTATATATATATATTCCTCTTTTTGCTTTTAACGGATAGTGTGTGTGAAATAAATTATAATATTTTTCCTTTATAATTCATAATTCTTAAAAAATATTAAAAGTAAACGGTACTCGTATTTTCAATTTCGTAGTTATGCTAAAAATATTATTTAGAAAAAGAGGAAAATATTTGATGAATTGCGCTAGCCGACCCTAATTTAGAAGTGATAGACTAGAGAGAAGGCAACTCGTCAACACCACCCATGGTTAACTCGTCAATACCTCTCATGGCTAACTCGTCAACACCACCCATGGCTAACTCGTCAATACCACCTATGGCTAACTCTTGAGCTACCTTTTTACATACTAAACGTGGGATTAACCGTCACATTATAACGTCCCCACAGCTAAATATACGGTGACAGGATTCGAACTCCCGAGCCGAAGATTGCGAGTTGAACGCCATAACTACTAGGCCATGCCAGTCAAAAACAGAAGGTAAACAATTCGAAACAGCACCTAGATATCTTCCATTAGAGGTGGGCGTGTGTGGCCCTGAGGGTAGCGTGTCAGATTACAGATCCGATGTTCGAGCCCTGTTACCGCCAAAAATAAAAAAGAAATCGCGCTTCGTGAGTAGATTAGAGTAGCCCATTAGTTGGCAGGGGGTGGTGTTGTCTAATCTGTCACATCAAACTTCTATTATTTTAACTGTTAGAGCATTAATCACCTCCCAGAACTTAAACTGAACTCTGCTTTCATAACAGTTTTAGCAACTCGATAGAAAATGTCCTGAGAAATTGATCAATAAAAGTAAAACCATTACTCTTTATACATAGTGAAAGTCACTTTTCTTCCTCTATAATTATTTAATTGAATCTATGTTACGTCCCTCACCCCCCTTCAAATAATAATAAAAAAAAGACTAGGTTTACTAAATCATTGTACCAAGTCTCGAATTCCCCTTCCATATTATTTTATTGGTGGAAGTTTATTGGCGGTTAGGGCAGTCACTGTAGGTTGCAGATTCGAATCCCGTTACGGAATATGTTCTCCCTTTCAGCCGTGGGGTGCGTTATAAGGTGACGCTCAATCCAACTGTTCATTGGTAAAAGCGTAGCCCAAGAGTTGGACGTGGGGATGTTGACTAGCTGTCTTCTCTCTAGCCTATCGCTTCAAAATAAGAGACGGCTAGCGCAGATAGCCCTCGAATAGCTTTGCCTGAAGTTCACAAGCAAACATATAATTTAATATGTTACATAGTAATATTACACATGTTTCGTATTACGTAATAATATTTCAAACGTTTCAGATTAAGATAAGTAGTAATATCATATGTGTTTCAGATTAACATAAGTAGTAACATCACGAATGGAGGGTTGAATCCACAAATAAAAACTCCAGAGTATAATATTTTCTTTAAACCAGCTAATTTGGTACAGTGCAGTAGAGAGTTTTTTTTATCAAGAGAATACACTGCCAAAGATAGCTATGACCGTCTTTCTCTAACACTGCGAGCCATTGAAAAAAGATAAACAAACTTGTAGCTGAAAGATTTGGGTTAAAAGATAAGTACATTGTATACCCTGGATTTGCGTTAATCACTATTTCTGGATAAGAGAATAAAAGGAGCATAATATATATAATACAATTATATATTTTGATGCGGAAGAGATTAAATTAATTCGCAACACAACTTATACGAAAATATAATAAACATGTAGAAACTAATGAAATAAAAAATATATTAAACAGTATGTTTGGTGCAGAAACTAACTTTAAAAATAATTAAAGTTTT